GAATTTCAAGAATCAAATCTTCACTGCTTGTGTTCTAGAATTTGTATTCTCTGATTGTCTTCTATAGGAAACAATAATTGATAATTGTCATAAACTATGTACTGTGGAAGGTATTTTAGAGACACTGTGTGTAATGGTGACCATGCAATGAAGATTTTTACCTTTCTGAAGAGGGTGTTTAAAAAGATTTAAAAATAATTATAAATGAAGAATATTATTGTCAGATTATGAGAATTATAATAGGGAAGTTGTAAAATATCAAACAAATGCATCAAAGGAAAATTGTTAATATTGCAGCATTGTTCTTTCAAAATAAGTCCAATCTTGTAACATCAATTGCAAGGGAGTTAAAACAATGGCACTGTGGATGTGTTTGAGGGGGTCAGTAGGGGGAAACATCAAGCCAATCATAGATAAAAAGTTTGGCAAAAAATCACATATTATGTGAAGCTAATTTTATACATGTATTTGTTAAAAGATATCTTATAATGAAAATTCATTTGTACTATGTTAGCCATAATTCTAATCACAGTGAAGATTAACCCAGTAAGCCAGACCCTGACCCAGGTCCTTGAAATCAAGAGCTGAAGTTGGATCTTTGGAAAGTGTCCCTATTCCTTGGTCTCTTCTCCCTGGAATTTCCTTAAGAGCGTTCACCTCTTGTAAAGTTTTAGTGACTACAAAATATCTATATAGACATCCCACCCTTCCACGATTTCTCAACTCTATACCTACACGTGTCACACCCTGCGCCTTTTATCGCCCTCCAAAACTTTCACACCAACCACTTTCAAACATTTTTCGCAAACTCAACTTTATTTTTTTTCTTCGCTTATCCGTAAAAACAAACCCACACAGCCTGCAAAAATCGACCTCACTTAAAAAGTCACGATTCAGCACATAACCGGACCGAGATTTCGAACTAAACACAACGGCTGTATTTAAAATACTTACGGTAAGGGAGTTTGCGCGAAAGCAAGAAGGTGCGCACTGCATCAAGCCAGCAATTCCCACGATCAATCGACGCAGTTGCGTGGCCCGTGCAACGGAAATTTTCACGCTGTAGAAAGTTCAGAAGTCGTGCAACGAACATGGACATCTAAAATGTAAGCTTGGGTTGTATACCAAACAATGTGAGCAAATTAAGGTGTGGAAAGTGAAAGTCATGCATCGCGTATCGTATCAGCAATAAAAATTTACGATACCTTGGAAAGACCCGCCTTAAAAATTCATCGGAGAGTGTTTGTTTCTTGTAGCCGTGCTAAAGGTTGTAGTTTTTGCGGGTTGTTAACATTTTGTTCTGAAACTTTCCTCGAGGAACTTGCCCGTTGAACGCGCTACGCAACTATAGCGATCGATGAGGAAAACTACATCGTGTAAGAAAACACGAGAGTCACCCGGCAGCTTCTCTTCGCTGATTGGCCAGAAAAATTTTTTTCTGGCCAATCAGAACAGGCAATTCAAACGCTTCTGGAACTGGTTCGGTAAGAGTAAGTGCCCAGGGGCTCGTCTCGATCTTACAGTAAACTTTCACCACGAACATTTTATCGACCCGACTGACTGCCCCTGGGTCTCCGAGGATGTTCTAGACCCAAATGTTCTGATTTATATACCCTATCCTCCTAGAGTAAACTGCTTGAAAGCCATACCCTTCACAGCGGCACATACCTCTATAGCCCATAATTGGCAGTATCCCCCCACCCCGGAATATTTCCGTTTCCACGATTCAAGAAATAATGTGTTACTCAGAATATGCGAACGGCCATCCCTCACGGAAGAGAGTTAAAACACATGTAGAAGACTGAAGTTCTAAGCCTTTACGCTGCCGCTAGAGAGAATTGTGCAATGTCTTAGACGTTTGGACGACATTTGTAAACATTGTTCATTCAATCATAGCACCAATTTTATCCATTTGGAACCAGCTAAACTGAAAGATGGCGTCGTGGGTACAGACGCCGCCAAAGAAAACATTAATGGCACGGTTGTTCCTCTCAAACTGCAAAGGTTACTTCGGCAATGCTTTGTTAGTGGCCTTCATCGCTGTAATGGTGTTGCTGATGACTACAGTTGTAATTGAGTTAGTCTATCACTTTAGACCTTACTACTGGAGTGTAATGATCTTTATCTATTCTCAGGTGCAGCTGGGTCTGGAGTTAGTTGTCACACAAGGAACGGTCTTTATGCACAAAGTGATATGCCTTTGTTCATGGTTGATTTCCAGTTTATTCAATGTACTGCGCTTGAGTTATGATTTTCTCGTGTTGGCAGCTTCGGAGGCAAGTTCCGTCTTCTGCAAAATAACGATGATTATATATTCTCAAATGCAGCTGGTTATCACAAAAGGAACGGTCTTAATGCACAACCTGATATGCCTTTGTTCATGGCTGATTTCCAGTTTATTCAATATGTTGCGCTTGAGTTATGATTTTCTTTTGTTGGCAGCTTCGGAGGCAAGTTCCGTCTTCTGCAAAATAACGATGATTATATATTCTCAAATGCAGCTGGGTCTGGAGTTAGTTATCACAAAAGGAACGGTCTTAATACACAACCTGATATGCCTTTGTTCATGGCTGATTTCCAGTTTATTCAATATACTGTGCTTGAGTTATGATTTTCTTGTGTTTGGCAGCTTCGAAGGCAAGTTCCGTCTTCTGCAAAATAACGATGATTATATATCCTCAAATGCAGCTGGGTCTGGAGTTAGTTATCACAAAAGGAACGGTCTTAATGCACAACCTGATATGCCTTTGTTCATGGCTGATTTCCAGTTTATTCAATGTACTGTGCTTGAGTTATGATTTTCTTGTGTTGGCAGCTTCGAAGGCAAGTTCCGTCTTCTGCAAAATAACAATGATTATATATTCTCAAATGCAGCTGGGTATGGAGTTAGTTATCACACAAGGAACGGTCTTAATGCACAACCTGATATGCCTTTGTTCATGGCTGCTTTCCACTTTATTCAATTTACTGCGCTTGAGTTATTATTTTCTTGGGTTGGCAGCTTCGAAGGCAAGTTCCGTCTTCTGGAAAATAACGATGATTATTTATCCTCAGATGAAGCTTGGTCTAGAAATAGTTATTACACAAGGAACGGTCTTAATGCACAACCTGATTTGTCTTTGTTCATGGTTGATTTCCAGTTTATTCAATATAGTACGCTTGAGTTATGATTTTTCTTGTGTTGGCAGCTTCGGAAGCAAGTTCCGTCTTCTGGAAAATAACAATGATTATTTATCCTCAGATGAAGCTTGGTCTAGAAATAGTTATCACACAAGTAACGGTCTTAATGCAAAACCTGATATGCTTTTGTCTATGGTTGATTTCCAGTTTGTTTACTGCAGTGCGCTTAGGTTGGGATTTTCTTGTGTTGGCAACTTCGGAAGCAAATTTATTCTGCTGGCGATTAACGATGGTGATTTATTCTCAGATGCAGCTTGGTCTGGAGTTAGTTATCACACCAGGAGTGGATTTAATCTTTTGGTTAATCTCCAATTTATCCACCACAGTACGCTCGAGTTGCACCTTTATTGTGTGGCAAGCCTCAAAATTAAGTTCAGCTGTGACGTCCGTCTTTTGGTGGCTCGTCGGTAATGTTTCAACCTCACTGAAGGGAATTTCTCGTCTTGGTAGTGTTGCCAAACGTCTTGTAGACTCAGATTCACCCTCAGACTTTGAACTTATCTGGAACAACTGGCAGTCTCCCGTTTGTTGCGTGATTGCACTTACTGGAACTGCGACTTGCCTTATAGCAATTGTGGCTTGGTGTCATGGCAAACTGGCTAAGCTAAGACTTAAAACCGCCAATACGTAAGAACAGGTATGTAGGCAAATACTATCCTTGGTTCAGATGTTTGCTAAAAACTATCAATTATTATCGTTTTTGATAAGATATTTTACCTTTCGTAACCAATCTACTGAGGACTCACTTATATCCTGAAGCATCGTCTGCGATCACTCAATCGATTGATCGGCGATCAATCAGGTTTTAAGGCTCTTAGCTTCGCCTCGAATTTTTAAGTCTGATAATACACTCCTACTCTTTTTTAAACAGTACTTTAAGTTTCCTCCACAGGAAGTAGGAACTGAATGAATTTTGGTATCTCTAGGAAGATGTACTGAGAACTGTCTAAACTGTCATTCTGTATTGTCTGTCTCTCATTATCATTTCCGTAAGATTAATATATGCGTGATAACACAGACGATGTTTTAAGAGTTTGCCAGTTTTACAGCTGTTACACCCACCCATGCTACAGGGTAAGGGACAGTGTTGCAGCTGTCGTCTTGCATGTTGTTACACAGTGTTACATAATTCATAGTAAAACATGATGTTCTCCCTTGTCTTTTCGATCGTCCCGATAAGATGTTTTTATCATCAAAGCATAGTGCTCCCGTTTTAACTCTATCATTGTTAAAGGATGATAAAAAATGAAAAAATCAGGAAAATAAATAAACCACAATGAGAATGACGTGTAATTGTCTACCACTACTAATAGCATTTGCCAACTATTGTCAATATAATTGTTCGGTTATAATCAGTATAGTATAGCCAAAATCTCTTTCTAAAATCATCCATTAAGTCTCCCTGCTTGTCATTGGTTTATTAAAAAAAACCACGTCAAAACCAGCTCCCAATTGGCTTGATACTGTAACTAAGTTGTTAAAGTGCTTTTGCCGATAACACAAGGTCACAAACACGAATCCCTTTAACCCAACTACTTTTAAAACTTACGTTTTTTTTCATTATTCATTTGTATAACTCAGCAGTGCAGTGTTTTGGACGTTTTCTATCTCGTTGTTTTATACCTTAAACCATGCCACATTCTCTAAACCACTTCTCTTAGACAGGCCAGATGCGCCCATTTGCCAAGAGTTCATTCTTGACAAATGTAAGAATGGTTCCAAGTGTACAGGCCATCACTGCTCTTTGCCTTACCAGTGGCAGTACGTCGATGGACAGGAATGGAATAGTTTAAAAGCAAGAAGAACAAAAGCTGGAACAAATGTATTGTGACGTGAATCTTGAGGAATTTTCCCCCAAGGTCTTTCGAAGATTTTATTTTGGAAAGTATGTTCTATTGTTAAAATGAAATAATTAGCACGTCAAGAGCGTGGGACAAGGAAAAAAATTACCACACAAATATTTTTATGGTCGGACTAATTTATCATCATCATTTACCTAGTGAAGTTAATGAACACTTTTTTCAGTCTAAATCAAATCAATGCTATATGAGAAACGTGTGCATAAAAGAGTACGGCCAGAGACCAAAGATAAAAAAAACCTCAGCGTTATAAGACACTGTATGGTGCTCAGTGTCATAATTTCACGGGGAAGGTGCTTGATAGAAAAAATGTCCAACAAAATGAGCTTTAAACCATGGTTTTGCAAAAACGTTGGGGACCAGGAGGCCGTGATATTACAATTTAAAGACAGTAAAGGTTAGGATTTTTGCGTAGACTGAATTGATTTTTCAATATCTTAACTTTTTCGTACCCCACCCCCTTCTCCTCGCCCCTAGTTACTCCCTGGATGGCACTATCAAAGTGATAAACCCGTTTAATGTAAAAACTGAATGCCTCTTTTAAATCTATTTATTTCAATCACTAATACTCATTTCAATAACTACAGAAGGGCAAATTGATTGAAATAACTGCAAACTGCTAACCTATATATAATTGCTTTTTTGGACCTCGCAACTCTTCATCATCTTTATTTATTTAGATATCATTTACGTTTTCATGATTTTAATTTTTTATTCATATAGGTTTTTCCATGCGTACCATAACTAAATGTAAAATGTTGATGTTCTTCTGGAAAATAAGGTACAGATCACACAAAAAAAGATTTTGAAAAGTTCGCGCAAATGAGACGCCTGTCTACAGGAGTCTTATGTCAACTCAACCAACTCTGGCTACTGAGTGGATATGGTACTGGAAGCACGAAGACGGAGGATGGCGGAAGTATGGACGAGACGATACGGTGAAAAATGGAAAAATTTGGGGTCCTGTTTTTCATATAATAACTCAACCATCGAAATCGAATCCATACCCTAGCGTCAACATTATGTTACAAAGTACAAAAGGGGGTGACAGGGGAAATCTTCGGGCTGCAAAGATTAGACGTTTCATAGGTGGCCTGTGATGAACCTAGCCTGGGCAGACTCCTTTGTGTGGGTTCGGGGAAAATTTTTGGCTCCTCGTGGGATGGTGTTCCGCCGCCAAAAGTTTTACCGAGCTTGCAAAAAAGTGAGCCTGCTCGTAGGCTATGATGAACCGATCCTACAAAAGGATAAAGTATCATGGAATGTGGCGTTACTTGGGACTAAGGGCGCTCAGTCCATTCAAGCCTAAAATCCGGGAATTTCGGTTTGTTCATCAAAGGAACAGACTATTTCGGTTTGGTTCAACCGGAATATTCGGGACCAGGTTTAAAGGTGGACCATTTTGACCGATCTGGTCATTTCGGTGAGTCGGACCAAAATGTTCCTTTCCATTTGACAAAATTGTTGTCCACAGTACAGGTTTATCGTATCCTGCTGCTTTCGAGAACAAAACCAAACATGCAGTGGCTTAATTGAGTCGGTTCTGTGCAACCAGAATGTACCGTTCCGTTGGGCATGTGGATGGAATTTTGTTGAATGGAAAGCGCCCTTAAAACCTAAACGCTATCTCGGCCTCACTTTGTACCAGTTACGGAAAACGCATTTAGGGGCCCGGCCAGTGTAGGCAGAGTCGCAGAGTCCCAGTCAAATTGATGTTTCGTCTGTAAATGGTGCTCAGCAATGTGAATGTTGACGTCACCATTCCTCGTCGCTCGTTTGTGTTCGGTCAGTAGCGTGCTAAGGTTTCTGCCGGTTTCACCAATGTAAGAAGCCTGGCAATCGCAGCATTTGATCTTGTGTACTATGCTCCCTGTCTGTCCTCCGGTTTGTCTTTGTCCTTGACATTAGTAAGCAGTCGTTGTAAAGTGGTCCCCGGTTTGTGTGCAACACGTATATTGTAAGGTTCAAAAGTATCGCACGTATATTACATCACGGCTTAACTGACAGACGACCAATAACATAGCGACGTAATTGACCAATCGGGTCTATAACCCGAGTATAACACCATCAACTCACGTGATACAACTCACTTTGACTCTGAAGATGACCACCGCACAGGTTGTCGAAACGTCAGTCACTGTCAACAGCAACAGTCCTATTCAGGACTACGTTCACCCGGACGATCAAACTCAACCTACTTTTGAAATGACTCCTGGGTTCAAACCTTTCACACTGTCTATGTATGTAATAACATAGCAGGATATAACGGGTGCAACTTTTGACAGAAAAGCCAAAAGGACCCTTGAAGGGATTTAGGGCTTTAAATCCGTGTAAAGAATGGGACGGGTCACACGCTCGAGAAAATGCCTCGCCGGCTCGACGTTCTCCGGGCGCGGCTGCTTCGCTGCCAAGTAGTACTCCTACACACTGATACCACCAGTCTCGCTACGTCGACTACTTTGGATTAGTTTGCATGTACAGTTCAATGACGAGTTGAAATTCCATTCACAGGGAAGAGACCTCCAAGAACTTCTAGAGAAAGCCTTCTTGGACAAGGAAAAAGACTCCAGGTTCTGCATTTCAGACCAGAATTACATTTTAAGTTTTGACTCATCGGGTGACATGAGCCAGAAAAAAGTAATATACGCTACCGTAAAGAAAGTAAGAAGAAGGCCTGCAAAGTTTGTATCCAAAGATGGCATTTCTCAACTTATAAGGTATTTGTGTGATTTTAATTACTGGAAAGGTGACAAACTATGGCCAATGATATGTTCAGAGTATAACGAGACTAATTCCTGAGTGTATGAGTGGGGTTTAACGACTATAGGGACAGTCAAATGATGAGAAACAAAAAACCGAATGCCGACAAAACGTACAAAAGTCAGTTTTATTCACCGGAAAACGACTGAGAAGGCCTGAAAACAACCTTTGTTCAACTTGATATTGGACCTCCACTTATGGTCAATTGACAGCTGTCTTAAATGGGTATCTACTGAGTTCAGTTTACTTCTTGAAATTACTCCATAAAGACATTTCTTCAAAGATTCCATGAGAGCTTCGCTTTTGGCCATGGCTAAATCTTTATATAGGGTCGGCTCTATGCATGATGGGGATTTTTTGAGACTGCGGGCCAACAAATTATGTGGGGGCGTAAATTCTATAACTTTGTTTCCTTTAAAAAGTATGTCACTGAAATAAATACAAGCAGCAATCCTTGAATTGATTCCAGGAATATCTTGAATTAAGCGTTTCTGTGGTTACCAGTCACGTGACTCTCGTGGCCAATTAAAAAATCAAAACTCCTAAAAGTTTATTTTTTAACTGAGTATTTAATCTGAAACTTTGGTACTTTGCAGAAATACAGAGCATAAAAAATTGAGGAACTTGTCTGATTTGAATTCTCAAATTTCATTTTTTGACGTCACAAAATAAGCTTTTTGATCATGCGCAGTATTAATAAACAATGACAAATTTGAAACAATAACTTAATATGAAAACTACAATAAGAAAATATCTATAGTTCAAGAGATTTTGGTAACATTCCTTGGATATTTTGAATAGTAGTTTGAAAACTTTTTGGCCGATATTTAGCAGTTTTTTCCGTTCAAGTGAAACCCATGACGATAGTTTCAACTAGCACTATCTACTGCTCAGTAACTTATATTAAAACTACTGATTGTGGCACGGAACATTTTTGGAATGTAAGAACAATGACGTGTATGCATTAATCATCTTTTTAATTAGGTCTCAGAACGAAGTACTAGTTAGCAACCAGCAAGGAAAATATTCAAGAGGCAGTTGGGATCCAATGCCATCTACGATGCAATATAAACGTGTTCCATTATCAGGACGTTCTGGCGAATTTAAGCAAGTGGAAAAACTCTTCAGAGAGTCAATAGAGCGGAGGGTGGTAATCATTGGCATTGAACGGGTGCAAAACCCTTTCATGTGGGAAAAGTACCAAAGGTAGACAAGTGCATTAACTGTAAGGTGTACTGTAATAATAACAAACGTTTCTGGCGCTTATAACAAACCTTAAAAAAACGAATTATCTGTGAAGACAGAGATTAATTGTGAAGGGGTAATTGATCTTTGTGTGTAGTAATACTTGAGAACTGAAGAAACTATAATTCCCCGCGAAGCGAGGCTCCGCAGGCACCCTCGCAAAGCGAGATTTATAATCGTTGCGGTGCGCGCACTCCGCAGATCGCCTACAGATCATAGCGGCCTGCAAACGCGTGCGGCCCATTTATATTTCTTTGAATATTTGTCTTGGTGTCCGCAATGTAATGACCTCAACAAGCGAGAAACATGGTCGATATTGTTTTAACTGTTTTTGCGGCCGTTTTGGCGATTAAGAAATGCCTTTGGTGGTGACTTTCGACGGCAAAAGTATGTACAGAGAACAATGAAGCAATTTGGAACAGTCGCTTAAAATAAATAAGAGCGAAAATCGAGATAAAAAAAGACATTTTTCAGTGCGTCTCACTTCGCAGGCAGACGTAGATTGAGGGATATGTTTGTTTTTCCGAAGTGCGTTTCAGTTCGGCTTTTTATCATCAAAACCTTGCTTTTCCTTGAATGAAATCTGTACCTTTGAATTCATACTTTGTTGTTAACCTTTTTCTGTTTATATAGTTTTTTGTTTTGCTTTCACGTTTTTCCCTTTAGCTTGTTTCCCTTTAGTCTAAATGCTGATGTATACAGCTTCACGAGGTTTTTGTAATAACATATTTCTAGTTATATTTTTAAAACAGAACATCTTTCTTTTAAGGATACTCTGTTCTATTTACAAGGGTTGCTTGAGGCATTTCACGCCCCCGCCCTTATCTCTTTCAGTAGAGGGCAACCTCGTTTCCGGGTCTCTGTCCCTGTCCTCTTGGGTACGTAACAGGTAAATGGGAGTGAATTTGACGGAGAGACAGCTCGCTAGCGAGGTTGGCATTTAGGTCATCGGCATGCTTCCTTCGCCCTCCTGGATTTGAAATGTGTGGACACGAAATTAAGGTCTATTTAAATTTTTGTATTTTATTTAGAAAAAAGGAAAACATGGGAGCTGCGAAGACTGGTTCCCACCAGGGAAGGTTCGTAAACGAGAGACAATTGTTTCATGGAACCAGCCCTGAAAATGTGGAAGCTATTTGTAAACAGAACTTTGACTGGCGTCTTCATGGGAAGAACGCAACTGCTTACGGACAGGGAAGCTATTTTGCATTAAACTCTTCCTTCAGCGATAGTTACGCTAAGGAAGATTCCAAAGGGTCTAAGTTCATGTTCGTGGCCAAGGTCCTCGCTGGGTCTTACACTACTGGCCAGTCCAATTATCGAAGGCCACCGTCAAAGGACCCTTCGAACCCAGCAAGTGATCTGTACGATTCCTGTGTTGATGATATGTCATGTCCTACCATTTTCGTCATTTTTGATACTGATCAGTTCTACCCGGAGTACATAATCAAATACTCCATATCTCAAGGCAGCTATTAGCAGCCTGCATTAAGAGCACCTGTTCCAAAACCTTGACACTCGCAGGCAACAGTTTGGGACCTTTATCAACCACAACGAAGACGCCAGCACTGAAAACGTCACAATGAACTTCCATTCTCTCAAAATTTATGTTTATTCAGCCTCAGTTTGTCTTGTAGGCAAATTTTCTTGAAGTTAAACTCTTTACCGCTGTATTGCACTTGAAAAAGAGAAGGAATAAAATTGTCGTTGTTGTGCACGTGTTTTAACGTCCCATCGCGCAGAATGCCTATTGTTCTCGGGACATTTACTTCCAGTTCGACAAAGTTTGTAGATCTGTCATATCACGCGTTATTTTGCGTGGACGCTATGAAAGCGCATCAAAAATTGGTGGCCTTGAACGGACTCAGATGCTCATTAATATGATGTAGATGGAAAACTAAACAAAGAAGGCAGTTGGCTATTGCTTCTCCTTTTATTCCCAAATCGCACATATAAGCATATTTCGTAACGAACATTTTAAAAACTCACTATTGCATCGCGTTAGTACGTTTCTCGTTGTAGCGGACGTCAAGGAAATATACCAAAAAGTGTGCCTGGTTTTTGTGGACGTTTTCTCTAAAGTCATCGACGTGGTTGTTAAAGCTCTCTATTTTAAGGGTCAATTGTACCCCCTGCAGTCGTAACCAAGCCTTTAAGGCAATGTTACAAGTGACCATAAGCGACGATGATTTTTGGCAACAATTTTAGAACAATATTGTAACAATTAGAACGATATCGCAACAGTGTTGCAAAGCTGTGTTGCGCTGAAAATCGTCGGTACAAAACGTTAATTCCGTGTAACATCGCGTTTAGTCACGGTAGATTTAAGAAGTTATCTGGATTAAGTTATCATGCATAGGGCTTATTAAAATGCATTTGTACATAGTCTTAAAATGGGCCAAGTTTAAGCCTGAGTTAATTTACGTTAAAAGTTCCGGAAAGGAACAGTTCAGTAACGAAGATGTCCACGTTTTTTATTAACTTTGTCCGTTAAGACCACTGGAACTGAAGAACGCTTCAAAGTCAGTAAAGGTGTTAATTTGGAGAGTGATTTTGAAAAGTCGCGAATAATTCCAGATGTTATTGCGAGGGGTACGTTTGCGCCTTCTCTTCGCTAGCTTCAGACGTATCATTTGAAAACTTGGCAAGTTTACTCAGTAATTTTAAGGTGCTCTTTACAGAAGTGTCGATGGATGTTCGCTTACTGGTCCTTATCAAAACTTGAGAAAAAGAAAACGGTGGTCTTTTCCGTTCTGAATTCCGCCTTGTCAGAACGGACCACCTTAGTAATCTTGTTACCCGCAGTTACAATAGGATTTAATTGTTTTTGCCTTCTTGGCATGTGTAATTATGTGTTCTGCGTTTTCTTGACCTCCCTTGTAATTTAGTGTTATACACTACCAAAGGGTTTAATAAACTGATTATTATTATAGTTCACTTAAATGTTTTCGGAATGGTGGTGCACCGATGTGGTGGTTCGAGTGCGCGTTCCCGTTGTACAGGCGGTTACCCCTCCTCATCCAGTACAACGTTTAACGTCAACTGCATATTATTTTTCACCCACAGCTGGAGCGAGGCCCATATATCGGGTCCTTAAGTCATTATCCTCCCACGTCTTCAACTACGTACGACTTCACGTGTACCAACAAACTGCAAGAGGTCGACAAGTTCAATGTCGTACTTTGGTGCGTCAAGCTGTGTTTCTGCATCACTTGCACTTCCCTCAACCCCGCCACCGACCTTCAAAACCCAAAACTTCTTTTGGAGACAGTTATCAAATATAAGTTAATAATTATGTGATTCCCATACTGGTTGTGTTTTTTTTTGTTTTGTTTTGTTTTGAGCGTAGAAGAAGGAACGTTGCAAAAAAGAATTGTATCTATGGTGAGTTAAGACATGAACGTGTTTCACTAGGAAGTTTGGACCTTATTCACGATACCCCCCATCTTTGCACTGGCTTTAGGGTTGATGGGATAAAAGCAATGTCACGTGATATTTCATGGGACAAACAAGTGATAAAATTTTCCAATATGAGTAAACGCGGTAGAATTTGTTTCAACAAAACGAGACGACTATTTAATATTCATGCAAAATGTATAGTTCGAGTTTCGACAAGTGTTACGTCATCGATTGTTTGCTTTGAGGACCTATAAGGGGTGACCATTCTCACCCCTTAACACACACAAAAGCACATTACATGGCAGCAAGCAAAATCACTTTAAAAGAGGTATTTTAGGAGGATTTTCAATGAGGTTATTTTAGGGCCTGTGCAGTACCCGTGTCCAGAGGTGAATTCGGTTGGCCCTATGTTATAGTCTGAAGGGTTGGTTGTAATCTGGCAAAGTCTTCAGGCTTTTATCGTAAAAGTGAACAATTTTGGTCGATAACAGCTGGACTTTCTAACTAAACAACACTCAAATAATTTACCAAAGCTTACTAAAATATTTCTCCATGAAGAGCAAAGGTCGTCAAACATTGCTTATAACACGGACTACATGAAACTTAAACAAAGCCTTGGTAGCTAGGGTAGGCATTATTAAATTCTCAGTTAACCATCTGGTTTCGTCTTACAGTGAGCCTTTATAGCCTTATCAAGTAAAACAATGTTTATTTCCTCATATTTAGATGATTATCATTACAGCACATGGGTCAAGGTTAAAGAGGCTGTGTCACTACCGCCTAGTTCTTGTTTTTAATATTGCCAATTAAGGACTCTTATTCGCTTAATGGAACTGAGCGTGACAAATTACTTGCAACAGAATCACAGCTTCGCGACAAACAAAATAATGTGTCTCTCGAGCATTATAAGAAACATTTCACACAACAAAACTGAAGTTTGAAAGGCTAACAGGTTTTCCAAAGCTGATTACAATCCGTTCCAATCTTCTAGAACGTGTTCATCAGTGCCTGTTTTGTATTTTGTGTGTTATTTATACCAGTCCTTCTTCCTGAATGTTTTGAGCGGTTATTTTCATGTTTCACTTAATTTGGCAGCTGTTCCAAACGTTTTAATTTTGATAAATTTTGCGACACAGCTCCTTTAAAGAAACTTGTTCATGTAACTAGTTACAGCAGTAAACTGGCTTTAGAGCATTCAAGCGAGCAGGCCACGATGTGCATAAATATGTTTTTTAAAGGCCTGTATGACAACGTTGATATTACGAGCAATAGGAAAGGGGCATGTCTTCGTCTCCTTATCGTAGCAGTTGATATAGCTAAGGAATATTTGGAGGACATTTTTGCCTTTTTCCAAGTTTGTAGAGGCCACCTTAACACAAGTGTTCTGCACCCTACCAGCGCACTCCACGTAGGTATCGTTCTCTAAAGGTAGAAAAAAATCCCTGAGACTTGAATATGGAAACGTGGCAAACCTGATACTTAGGGACGGACCATTAGAAAAGTGATGGGGGATGGGGAGAAAACCAAAAAAAAAATCATGCAAGGGAAAATGCCAAGAAAAAAATTCGTGCAAGAAGAAGGTAAAGAAAACAATTAATGCAGAAGGAAGGTCCATTTGTGACTTTTTCAGAAAGTCTGAGTTTCAGAAATCAACAATATTACCAGGCACAATATGAATAAACAAAAATCACTTTCTTCTTATTGAAAGGAGACAATTAGAACCTTGTTTTTGTTTTAAATTGCAGCTGGTGTGCCTACAACATACACTGTATACTGTATTATAATAAAATAAAATTTGTAATAAATGAATATTAGAATTTGGCAGCTTTGTAAATATTCTATAAAATTATTTGTGCCCAGAATAAAAATTGGAGGATGGGTCTTACCGCCTTGAATAAGAATTCTATAATACAATGAAAAATTGCATTCACAGAGGGCAGAGGGGCTGTTTTGGTGAATGGAGTATGGAATCATTATGATGGGCTGTGGAAGAGGAATTCCAGAGGGCAGGGACTGAAAAAATGCACAGGGAAGCCGTCCACTCCAAGGGGCTTCCTCCTCTCTCACTGTGAGTACAATTTGGAAAAGATTTTGCATGAAAGTGGCCTGTATCCTTTGATCTGTTGTGAGTGTAGAATGATTTATAAAGCACAAAAACATAGATAATGAATCAAGATTTCACTGTTCAAAAAAAAGCAATATTTGTCTGAAAAAAAATTCGTGCAGAGGGGTTCACCTGAAAAAAAAATTCCTGCACAAGCAGTGAGCCGAAAAAAAATTCTTGCAAGCTGAAAATTCACCCCCCCCCCCCCCATCACTTTTCTAATGGTCCGTCCCTTAATAACGTTTGTGTATGTGTCTAAATAAGCTGTCTAGCTGGACCACGACCAGACCGTACGGGGTCTTCCTTCTATCCTCAGACTCTCATCTTTTCTTGTTCAGAAAGGCTTGTTTGCTATATAAAACGTCGAAAATCGTTTTTTCACGATTTATTTTCACGATCTATGATATAGGAATACAGGGGTTAATTACAGGGGTTACAAAGGGGTTAAAAGGGGTTACAAAGGGGTTACAAGGGTTAGGGTTACAAGGGTTACAGGGGTTACAAAAGGATTATAGAAACTTTTTCTAACTAGAACGTTCCCAGATACTTTTTCTTGGTCTATTTTGCATAAAAATCAAAGTTGAAGAAATCTCTAATTTTTGATCAAAACGATGGACTAACCCGTTTGGAAAAATTTGAATTTTGCGTTTTTCCTAAACAGTTGTTTTTATAGTCTTTAAAGGATTCTTTTTTAATCTAGAACGTCAGCAAACACTTTTTCTCGATCTATTTTTGATAAATACAAAACATGAAAAAACTTCAACTTCTTGACCAAAATCATGGACTATCCCCTATGCAAAAATGCCAATTTTGCCTTCTTTTTAAATCCATGTTTATATTGTCTAGAAAAGCTTGTTTTCTAACGAGAACGTCACCAAATACTTTTTCTGGGTGTATTTTGCATAAAACGGAACGTTCACAAAATTACAAATTTTTGACCAAAACCATGGACTAACCCCTTTGCAAAAATGCCAAT